AACACCTATGGGTGAATTTGTGTGACGAATAACCTTTGATTGTTGGCATGCCGAGCACTCTCTGACCCATTTGTGTACATCCTTCTGTAAATTCGGCCATATATATCTGGCGTTAATTAGTTTAGTCGAAGCTTTTGCGCCAGAATGAGATAAAGCATGGAAGTTTTTATATATCAACTTTCGCATACTCTTAGGAACGAAAGGTCGAGGCGATGCCTTGGTCGTGTCACAGTAAATTAGAATACCGTCGATAGGCGACGATAACTGTTTTAATTTAAGACTTGAATTATTTGTTTTAAGCAGATTTCGTAATTCTGGATCCTTTTCTTGTTCGTGCTTCAGTGTCTCGAAGTCTACTGTAGACTGCTGTAGCACGTTCATTTCTAATCTAGACAAAGCGTCTGCAGCCTGATTGTCCCGACCTTTGACATGTCGGATATCACTTGTGAACTGTGATATATAGTCAAGATGTCGAACTTCTCGCGGTGAGTATTTATCGGCTCTCGCTTTTAATGCATTCGTTAGTGGTTTGTGATCTGTAAAGACTATAAATTCCCTGCCTTCTAACATGTGTCGGAAGTGCTTAATGGTCAGGTAGATTGCCAGAAGCTCCCGCCCGAAGGTAGAATACCTTGTCTCTGCTGGAGCGAGTCTTTTCGAGAAGAAAGCAATTGGTTTCCAGGCGTTTTTAACCAGTTGATTAAGGGTACCACCTACTGCTTTATCTGAAGCATCCACCATTAAAGCAAGTGGAGAAAGAGAATTCGGATACACCAACGTAGATGCCTGAGCCAGTTTATCTTTTAGCTGTTTAATCGCTTCGACGGCGTCAGAAGACAGTTTGTATTCTTTTGGTTTACCTTTAAGTGAATCTGTCAAGGGTTGCATTAGTTGTGCACAACCGGGTATGAATCTGCGATAAAAGTTAATTAGACCTAAAAAACTTCTCAGTTGTGTTAGAGAACTAGGTATAGGGTAATGTTTGATGGTGTCCACTTCTGCTTTGATAGGTGTAATCCCTTCTGGGCTTATTGTGTGCCCAAGAAATTCTAGAGTTTGAACACCGAAAACACACTTACTTTGATGTATGTTCATTCCATTTTCATCCAGTCTTTTCAACACTGCTCGTACATGCTGTTCGTGTGATTGTAAATCGGGGCTGGCAATTAACAAATCGTCTATATAGCCCTGTGCAAATGGCATGTCTCGAAGTAGGTTATCCATGAATCTTTGAAATGTTTGTGCCGCACTTCTCAGGCCGAATGGCATGCGTACAAACTCGAATAAACCAAAAGGTGTAGTAATGGCTGTCTTGGGGATATCTTCATCAGCCACCGGAATATTGTGATATGCCCTGACCAAGTCAATTTTAGTAAATATGTTCATACCATGTAAACCGTTTGTGAAATCTTGGATATGCGGTATCGGGTACCTATCTGGTACGGTTTGACGGTTGAGCGCTCCGTAATCCCCGCACGGTCGCCAATCCCCTTCGTTTTTCTTTGGGACCATATGCAAAGGGGATGCCCATTGGCTATCAGAGGGACGGATAATACCCAGTTGTAGCATATAGTCAAATTCAGCTCTAGCGATTTTGAGCTTATCTGGTGCTAGTCTCCTGGGTCTTGCAAACACAGGCGCACCTTCGGTTTTGATATTATGACTTACTTTTAGTTTGTCTTTGGCAGGCTGTGGGTTTGGTCTAGTTAAGTTTGGAAATTCCGCTAGTATATCTTGAAATTTCGCTGTTGTTACTGGCGGAGTTTGAATCAAGTAAAGGGATGTGATGTGACTTTCTTTTCCTTTTGTGTAATTCGAAGTTTCTTTCAGTGTTAAGCGTCGTTTCTTAGTGTCAACAAGAAACTCATATCTCTCTAGAAAGTCCATCCCCAGTATTGCCAGATCTAAATCGGCTACTGTGAAAACCCAGGGGAATTGCCTTCTGAACCCCAAATCTAGTGTTAAGGTTTTCTGCCCAAACGTCGCAATTTTAGTTTTATTGGCAGCTTGGAGTGTGACTGGGGATGTTTTTCGCCCCAGCTCAGTTTTGTTTTGAGGTATGATACTGAGAGCAGCGCCCGTATCTACCAAAAAGCACAAGCCGGAGTTTCTGTCTCTAACATAAAACAAGCGACTATTTAGGCGCCCCTCCTCAGTCGTCGCGACCTGGGGAGGGGTTACTCGTTTCCCGCATTTCTGGGATTTTGTTTGGGCCAGGCGCAGGGTTGCATGCACTTTGTTGAGTTGACACCAAACTTCCAATGATACCAACAGAATTGCCCAGATCGTCTAGACATTTGTAATCTGTTTCGTGACTTGGATCTTGTTCGTTGTGGTGATCTACTCCTGTTTCTATGATCCATTTGCATTTTGGCAACAGCCTCAGTGAGACTTTTCACACTCGCTATGAGTCCCTCTATGACTGAGTCTTTGGCTGGTTCTTTTTGTGTGTGGTTTATCGTGTTTGATCCAGTTGGGGGACCCCTTTCCATTATCCTATCTGCTATACGCGCTAAATGAGATAAAGCGGTTTCAGGATCTTGCGCATCCAAACAATGTTGGACGTAGCATGGGAGAGCTTGTATCCATCCTTGCTTTAGGACTGCTTCACACACTGTGTTATCACCCACTAAGACTTGAAGGTGACGTGAAAACTGTGACGGTGACCTATCGCCTAATGTTTCTCCTTGGAAAAGCCTTTGGATTCTTTGGCTGTCTGATAATGATAAACGGTTTATGATCTCTTGTCTTAAAATGGTGTAGGGTTGTGGTGATGGTGGGCTTAAAATCAAGTCACGGACTTCTTTGGTGACTGAAGGAGAAAGTATAGAACACAAGTCTCTATAGCGAATTCCTCGGGATTTGATATTATGTCTCGTGAAATAATGCTCTAGTTGAGCAAACCACAACTCAGGATCACTACGATCAAATTCTGGAAGTCGGGATTTCGTAGTCATAACAGTGTCTATCTCCACTGGTGACAAATGATCCAGGTTTTGAGTTTCTATTGAGTCTGACATGAAGTATATGAACAATATAGCAATAAACTTTACACGAAAAATGGTTACTACAGCACGAATATCTTAAGATAATAAAAAAACTATGGATAGATATATATATACCAGACTATGTTTACGGATAATCAGAAGGTCTACTTTTACGACTAAGTAAAACAAAAAAAATTTATTAATCAAAAATGAAATCACATATGTGTTTCACGGGGCTCACCAGTTTCGTGCCTTATGGTAACCCTCGCGTTATTAATAGAAGAAAGCAGACTCGTAAGGAAATAGGTCTTTATTTTGATCTTCGCGCAGTCACAGTGGAGCGTGGGGTTCTTTACTCAGACAAACAAAACCTCTCAACAAGCAATATAAGATAGATAGAAATATAACGCCTAAACAAAATAAAGAAGTGAATAAATATCTGAACTATGCTGTTTTGATATATGCTTAGTTGCTTGAGATTAACTCTTGACAACCGACCTAAGCTGTTACAGCGTTTCCGATCAGCAAACATGATGGTGAGGAGATAACTTCGATCTATCGATGTCTCTAGGGCAGAACAATTTGTTTAATTATGGTGCTTTATGATCAAGTGGGATGTCACGAATAAATGGTGTTGATACTAATATATTATACGAAATACCTCTTTAAATAGTGTTTGTGAAGTTAAATTCGCTTCATTTCCAACCAAGTAATCTTATTACAAGCAAACTAGATAATTCGCAAACAGGAAGACAAACTGGCACTTCAAAAGGATCCGACTCAACTTCAGAGTTGGGCAGATGACAACGAACTTATTTTTAATACTTCAAAGTGTAAAGCAGCTCACCTGAGACATGTTGCAGACTACGCATATAACCAAGATAATTCTCTTCTAGAGACATCTCAAGTTAAAAAACATTGTAGATCACCAGCGTGGATGATCTATGTCGAAATGATTGGAGGCTTACTCGAGTTAGACGTGAGTGGTGTGACAAACTAGCTGACGTCGAAGTCACACTTCGCGGTCTGCACCCTACATAGATTACCCCGTTGACGTATCAAGGTACTATAGATGGTTTGAAGACTGTGCAACACAGAGGACGTTATTACAGAAATATATTAGTCAAAGTAGATACAAGCGAAGGTAAGACCACTGCCGCATGGGCCAGTCCATGGCGTACGATTAACTGATGCGCGTTGGTTGTTCTTGACATTGACGAGGATTGATGATTTTGTTCGATATTTAATGGCTAGGGCTCAGTTGAATTTCACTGGCCCTACAACATCTAGAAGTAATGGCACCCTATCATCTGTAGTCTTATAACAACTGCAAGAAAAATGCCTTTTGAGCAAACCTTGTACTAATGTCGTTGAAGCACATTTTGTCCAGTTTGACGGACAACCTTTCCACATAATCTTCAACAGTTTGATTCGTCTCCATTTAGAGTACGGAAACATAGTATTTTCTCCTTCACTCCAAACTGATAAGGACATTCTGGAACATATCCAACGACGAGCCACGATATTAGTCCGGGGACTCTAATTCAAGCCTTATGATGAGCACCTCCAATCACTGAACCTTTACCCATTAGAGTTCAGGCTTCTTAGAAATGACCTTCTAATGGCTTACAACATCCTAAATACTTTTGGACATCCTCTTAAACACTTACATAAGCTTAGTCCCAACAAAAACCTAGAGGTAACACCCAGAACTTGGAGACACAAAACAGCAGAACGGACTGTAGAAACAACTTCTGCTCCATAATGATAGTCAAATGCTGGAATTCGCTGTTGGCTGAGGTATTTCAAGCGTCTTTGCAGGCGTCCTTTAAGATAAACTTGATATATTCTTAACGACTAAGGATAGTATGTTACTATGCCTTACCAATTTCTTTTTCCTCTTTCATAGGCAATATACCTGAGTTTCTGCGTGGAGGTATTGTTTATTCACTGCTGTTAGATACCGAAGTTCGTTAAGCGAAAGCTCCTTCTTTACGGTCCAAAGCCATTTGAATTATTTGAACTTTCGAAGCGCAATGTATAACATGTGCGTTACTATTGCAAGTAAGTGTCGCATGTGATAGAAGTTATTCATCAAGTATTTGAGAGATATTGCGGAACAAGCGTTTTGTCAGAGTAATACAGCTAACCAACATATTAGAACCAGAACACATCTGATGACAAGCTATTTCTCATTCTCGTTAATATGATATTATCACATACTGTCTCACTTCTGGAGTTATGAGCGGATGTATTTGTAAGTAATTTTTGCAATTATCCAGAGATATTGCCAATGAGGTCCACGAACCTCATTTTCTGTCTGCGGGGGAATGTCGATTCTCGAGTTTCTTTATTAGTAAATTTAATTGTTCTGATCAGAACAACTCATCGATGAGTTGAAGATCGCCTATGTCTTGGTTTTGTAACAATCTCTTTGAAACTCTTCAATATCATTGACATTCACGAAAATTCTTGTCACACAAAGTGGTGTAGTGATGTCTCTTGGGTGCTTCTAAGAGCTCTAGTATTGTTAGCAGTATAGATGGGGAATTACTATCGGCATTTCGGCGTATTAAAACCGCAGGCTGTTTTTTCTCACATATGCAGACGCCGCTTCTGGTAATTTGGCAGTATGGCCCAGGATTCGTGCTGGCACAAAACCTCCATACTATCGAAAACTCGAAGTGATCCACCTGGTCTATGGATCATAACAACTAGGTGATGTGTCTCGTTAAAAGAGGTGTCATCATGTTTCTGATTATGCTGAGTAGTTCAGAGTGATTGTCACCACACTGACCTATGGTTCATCCAACGAAAGGTTGCTCAGCGAGAATGGGGCACAACTTTAACCCCAGATCTCCCCATTAGGGTATGTGGTGCATATAAAGCCTTCGCGGCGAGACTAATTTATAGACGAGCCAATCCGAGGCGTTTTAGAGGTTTCAAGATCACTCCACTTACTTCAGTGATTAATGCTAATGTACGATCGGTTTATAGGGAATTTCGTAGAAAACGTGATAATTGAGCGGCTATAACAAATAAAAAGGTGGGACTATAATTTGTGGACGAATTGATCAGGTATAAGATAACAGATCTCGGATTTTGACGCGAGGGCCTTCCATCCATTTGGCTAAATAGATTTCCGGCATTATAGCTGATGTCAGTTCGTGATGGAAACCCCATATGTAATTCTTAACTAGGGGAAATTATGACAATTATCGCGAACTGGATAAAAAAAGCACCAGTAACACTGGCTGCAGCCAGGTACTACAATATATACGGATGTTTGGAGAGCGTGCAGACTCCTACATGGACTTGGTTGTGTGCATCGTGTCGTCATCCACAAGTGGCATTTTGTGTCCTCAACAATCGGAGTGCACATAAACGATATTGAAGCTATGTGGTCGAGGCTGATAGAGTTTATGAGACTCTATAATGGCTCCAGAGGCTGACTATTCTGTAGCCATATGCGATTTTAGAACCTTTGAAACTTATTCTGACATTGACAAGTTTTTGAACCAGGTGTAAGAAGTGTATCCACTTTATTTCCTTGTTTTTGTATGACATATTTTTACTCTATACTGACTGCTTGCTGATTGGCTAATATTCTCAAGGTCGCTTAAGATTCGTTCAAAGGTCGTCCATAAATTAGAGTCTTGCGGCCTTCGCTACTGATGTGACACAAGTAGCCTCCATAGAAAGCGTTGACAGATGACCGGATTATAATATACAGACTCATTGAATACCGTCTTTAATAGATTTTGGATTCGCTGTGTATATTGCAATAAGAATCACTCAACTAACCACACAATATGTCGCCTAATACCAACACACAAGCACGGAATCAGTTAGTTTGTGTCAACTAGTTGCTAAGTTAGTATGGTAATAAATCTATCAGTTGTTTGAGGTGTTGTTGATAGATTTCAGAACCCGATAATAATTTTGCAATGTCTAATGAATGTGACATGTGAATCCTAAATTACAAGTATTTGGGATTGATACTAAAAACTTCTTGATCTCTAATAGACGGACATGTGATGGATATTTTTCAGTGGTATATATCCTTCTGTACTACTGACTTAAGTCTTATATAAACTTGTGTTCTTACTTTATTTTTCCCTTGTTTCCACTGTGATTCTGACTCCTGTCGTTAGTTCGTCACTGTTTGTACTTAAAAGCTGTCTATTACTAACTGGTTTCTTACCAGAGCGTTACTCTCCATGAAATGTTTGACATAATTGTTCTTACACCTTTCACTCCGTTAAAACTTATCGTGGTGAAACTATGATTTATGGAAGACCTTTGAGCGACACCAGACTGACTTTGAGAGTGTCCACCTGATAACTAGGACCATATAAGGGTTATAGACTTGTGTGAGGAAATAGAATTATAACTTACAGTTGATGATTAGGGTTAGAAATTAGATTTAGGGTTTTAATCACGAACTAACATTAGCTATAATGCCAAAACTCGATTTATCCGAATGAAGGAGTGAATTTCGCGCTAAAACCTTAGACCTGTTATCTTATACGTGATTGGTTCGTCTATAAATTTTAGTCTCGCCTTTATCACTTTCAACGTTTGCAGTTTAGTCTCATCCAGTCAGTCAATCATACGAGAAGTAGAACCCGGCACATGCTTTTTTAGTTCACGTTACTACACCATATCACGGTAAAACGCCAGAGTAGTTTAGGTTGTAACAGTATTCGTGGTATTAGAAAAGATTCTTCATAGAAAATATGGATTCTGGGAATAAGAACAAAAATTTTTAAACGATTAAGAAATTTGATATCCGAGGAAAGACGAAGGACAGATGCATCTGCAATATCGGTAAAAAATGAACTATCTCACCCTAGTATCACCATTCATTATAGCAATCTCCCAGGTCCCGACCAGGTATTCTGCATCTACCTACACAGCCCAGTTCAGCAGTCAGTGACTAGACAGAGTAATGCAACGTTCCAGTTTTGACTCCGCTGTCTTTCTTCTAACTTATTCTTACATTAACTATCACCGCACTTCGAGGTAGGCAGCGGTTAAATGTACGTAGTACATGTTCCAAACAGAAGATAAAAATTTTCGACCTCACTAATCAATTTTCTAGCATTACTTTGTGTCCCAACTCAGTATTATTCACTCAGTGGCCCCGGAATGCATGAGTAACGCTTATCCCCCAAATGCCCTGCTGCGGCCGTGAGTGGTGAGAGTCCTCTCTGCCTTTCGAAATGCTCTCACATGGCCATGCGTATAAAGCCTCTGCCAGGGAAGTCCTACTCATTGCCTTTTTGTGGCGACGGTGTTGTTCACGAGATTGAGAGGACGAAAAGCGAATGTCCGGCGCTTTAACCGGGTTAGTGGACATGGAGAGTTCACCTAAGGGAGTTGAAAAACCCTGATTCCGAACCGATGGTGCACATGGGCTCTAGTATCCTGAGGGAACAAATGGCGTATGAACCAATCGTTGGTCACCGGCTACCATGGGACTGCATCTCCTTACGATGCTCCACTGCCTTTTGGATCAGACCTTCAGGTCGAAGGTTCCGGGTATGGCCCCCTATGAAAACCGCCTGCTTCGGTTTGGGCACCCGGGCGGTATCACAGCCCTCATACAAATCAAATGAGATTTGTATGGCGCATATGTATTTGGTGCCTCCTAGCCTCCAAATGAGAAACGCTTAAAAGGCATCTGTAATGGAATACTAGTAACCTAGAAATATCCCTTATTTTTTAAGATATTGCGCAACCACAAAGTAAAACAGATGACACTGTTGCGTGTTGTATTCCTTCTTTAGCTGACGAAAAACAACTAGACTTTCTGAATCTTTCCCAAAATTTTGTCAGATACCGACCCATCAGGGCTAATGAAACTTGCAGAATAAGTGAGGTAGTTGACACACTAAATTACTTCTCTCCCTGTTTAAGGGATATTGAGTAACTTTCATCACTTAAACCAAGAAGTTTGTTCCATGTATGCTTATCTGAGAGCAATGGATGTAGGGATTTAGTTGGTTTAGCGATTACAGTACTTGGCTTTCAATCAGTTAGTTGGGGGGGGGACAAACCCTATTCTACATACTGTGGTTTCAGCAGTCAAGAGGTATCATTGACCTTCCCACTAGAGCATGAAATTATGCAGAATGCGTAAACAATTATGTAGAAAACGTCACATTAACATTATCCATGCGTTCTATGCTATTGTTAATCAACTTTTTAGTTATTTGACGCTACGTATTATTGAAGTGCTTCTGAAAAGCCACTTGTCTGTTTTACTACACACAGTATACTAGAGGATAAGCAAACCCAGAGTAGTTTAATCCTAATATCCATCTATTTGGTTTTGTCTCTGACTGATTCCCGTCTTGTTTTACCATAAAATAAATAGGGGTTCGATGAAGTAATATTTTGTTTTCCCTAATAGTGAATTATTGTTTGGCATTCAAATTAAGTTGGATACTATTCTATCATGTATATGCTCTAAAAGAGGAATCTAACAATCTACTCAACGGTTCTTCAATTGGTATCTGGAAAACTACTAACAGCCATGTTAATGTAAGTAATATCAACCTGTAGATATTAAATGACAAAATTGTTAGTTGTCAATCCTTAAACCTAATTTTACTACATTGGACTATGTTTTCACATCTGTTAATGTTACACCGAAAGTAAGTTATAGGAAGGTAAATATAAATTTCATTTGTCAGTCAAAGCTTACAACATCAAACGTCACCGTTATTTTCGAAGATATGTCGACTACCAAACTTTCGAATTCTACTAAGCAGTTGGGTAAATTTTTATCAGAGAAAACTGCAGAGGTTAGACGTATAACAACTGGAACACATACTATCCAAGAGGAAGAAGTTGCTGAAATCAACGAGTTTGAAAACAACAAATTAGGCGAAAGTTCTATCCATTCAGGCGATTCACATGCTGATCTAATACAAGAGCCACGAAGAAAAGATTTCGAGGATAGTGGGCCACAGATAGATCCCGAACAGTCTATATCCGACAGAAAGCATTCTGAGTCTAAAAAACCCAACGGGTTCATATATCAAGGTGACTCTGGTACTGTAGTTCACAATAAATTATGTAAGTCCATGTTTTTGTGTGTAAAATGAGATAATAATGTATGAAACGTGAAATATGTTATTATTTGATTTTGAAACCGTCAACATTTATATGAGAATAATAGTGAACGTGGCTCATCGTTAGTCAGTTAATGCTTCGTGATATAACTTCGCAAGTATCAAAAATATTTGGCAAATGCATCCTATAAATGATGTGCTTTCACTGGTTTATATTGCGCAATTGAGGTTGTAGTTCTTTTGTCTTGTGTGTCATTCAAAAAGTTATGAGTTCTTAGCAAACTCCCCCAGTACTTAACATTTTGTATGTTGTACTTTTGAAATTTTCTGCTGACTGTTCTCTTACCGAAAATTCTAGCTTGTTTTTCGCATCTTTCGTTTCTCTGTTGTCAAAAACAGAAAGTACCGTGATAAGATAGTCATATTATTTTAACGCTTATAAGTTACATATTTTCTTAATATGGTTTGTAACGTCAAGTAAAAAAACTCAGTGACATTCACTCAGGACGTTAATTTTATGTTAAATAGGTGCCTTGACTATATATAATAACAGGCATGATCAGCTTGATATATATAGTAACATTAAATACATAGGACATGTGAGATATTCGATTATTTCAGTCAGTCAATCAGTCAGCTGCAACGTAGGACCAGGCACATATATGCATCGGTCCAAGTTCCCATACCTCATTAGCACAACAAGATGAACACCGGACTCATAGAAGTAGTTGATTCGGTTGTGGTAATATATAAAAGAAAGATTGCATATAAAGAGATAGTACAGGAAGATAGAATTAGTTCGTAGAAAGAAAGACATGAAGCGATTTTAATCACTTAGTTTAGGGGAAGACAGAGTGTATGCACCGACGCCATTGTGATCGATTCTGGGCCATGTCACCAAGAGTCTCCAACCATTGGTTACCATAGTCACGCGGACCCCAACCAGGTGGTCTGCATCTACCAACATTTATTTATTTATTTATTTATTTGAACACATAAATATTGGTACAGGGGGGCACCAAATATATATGCGCCACACAAAACAATGATAATTTGAAGAGAAGGAGAAAAAAAAGGTAATGAACGTGGGGAATTATAAAAAAAAGAGAGAAAGAGAACAATGATGGGGAAAACGGAAAGGTACAATCAGAAGAAATCTTTCAGTTAAGGAAGATACAATCATTTTTTATGAAAAAAATTAAAGAAGGTTACAACAGGATCGCCATTGGCTTCTATTCTGAGCCATATCTGATAACGTCTCTAGCCACTGTGTTACACCATCTATCGGACCCCAATCAGAGAGTCGAGAAGGACCAACAGAAGATAGCCCTTTGCAGCTTTCTTTCATACCACGACACCATGTCATATACTGACCACCTCTCCGCTTTTTCCAACCAGTCCCAGAGTCGGCAAATAATGCACGACGAGGAATTCTCTGGGACAACATTCGTAGAACATGTCCAAGCCACCGAAGTCGGTGTTTCAAGATGGTGACACCAATTGGATTGTCGTCTCTGTGCCAGAACACACGATGTCGAACCTCTGCATTACTAACATGGTGTTGCCACTGGGTGTCAGCAATCCTTCGGAGACAGCGATGATCGAACACAGAGAGACGTCTAACATCCTCAACTCGGAGAGGCCAGGTCTCACAAGCATAGAGCAAAACTGCTCTCACTGACGCGTTGTAGATCCGACCTTTTACAGCCAGACTAACATCACGAAGGCTCCAAAGATGGCTCAGATTGGCATAAACTGCTCTGGCTATCACTATACTTGCATTGATCTCATCACTCTTACCACCACCAGCACTTATGCAGCTACCCAGATACACGAACTTCTCGACCACTTCTGTCTGCTCACCGTCCAGATTGAGTACAGGATTAGAATCCTGCCAGTCTTGTAGAAGTACTTTGCACTTCGAAGGTGCGAAGCACATACCATACCTACGGACATTGATTGCCAACTGATTAAGTGCGGATTGCATAGCTTGGGCATTATCGCACAGTAAGACAATATCGTCCGCATACTCAAGGTCGAGAAGTCTTTCTCCAGACAACAGATCCACACCACCATTACTTACATCCGCCAGAGCTGTTTCCAGAATGTCATCGATGGAAAAGTTGAAGAGGAATGGTGAGATTGGGCAACCCTGCCTAACTCCACTGCTTGAATGGAATAGTGGAGAAAGGTGGTTGTATGCCCTCACTCTGCCTGAGGATTTTGTGTATAGGGCCTTAAAGAAGTTAATAAACTTCTCAGGTACACCCTTCTTCAATAGACAATCCCAGAGAACAGTTCAGTCTAACGAATCGAAGGCAGCCCTCATGTCAAGAAACACTACGATTGTTGGCCTTTGATAAGTATGGCGGTGTTCTAACATTTGGCGGAGGGTGAAGATATGATCAATACATCCTCGACCAGAACGAAACCCAGCCTGCTCTTCGCGAGTCAATCTTTCTCGGGTTTTGAACAACCTACGAAGTATGACGGAAGCCAATAGCTTGGACGCAATCGGAAGTAGACTTGTCCCACGATAGTTGTTACAGAAACTACGTGAACCCATTTCGAAGATAGGGACAACTATCGAATCATTCCATGACGTTGGTACACTCTCTAGTTCCCAGACCATTGTAAACAACGTCGTCAGTCCCTTAGTCAGAAAGTCACCACCATCTTTAAAAAGAGCCGGAGGTAAGTCATCTGGGCCCGGTGATTTGTAACGTTTCAAGAGTTGGAGTTCCTTGTGGACTTCCGCCTCATTTGGTGGATCAGTCGTCACCAGCCATGGAGGGCAGGACAGTCTGACCGATGTTGCCGGAGCAGCAGGCCAGTTGAACTGCCCTTCGAAGAATTCTGCCCATCGTCCAATACGTCGATGGACGTTAGTGATTGGCGTTCCGTCATCCTCGCAGATTGTTTCGCTCACACCAGACTTCTTGCTGCCAGTGGCTCGGATGAGTTGGAAGAGCTTCCAGTAATTACCAGATGCAGCTGCTGCTTCCAGCTCATTAGCAAGCTCCGACCACCAGGCTTCTCGGTCCTCACGCAAGCTTTGCCCGATTTCATTACGTAACATCCTTCGTCTGTGGTCAAACTCACGGTCACCCGGAGTAGACCGACGGGCTTCAATCAGTTGTAAGGAACCAGAAGAAACCCAGTGCTCATAAGTGGGACGTTTCGCGAACCCACAACAGACTGTACCCGCCATTTGCATGGCGTCATGCAATTGCAACCAATGCTCATCTATACTTTTCGGTGGAATGCTAGCTAGCCTGGAAGCTAGCTCGGTTCGGTACTTACTATCAACAGAAGTTGCAGCCAGCTTGCTAACATCAATCCTTTGGTGGCGGTCACTTCGTTGTCCGCTGAAAAGTAAGGTAAGATTGGCGCAGACCAGAGCATGGTCAGATTCCAGATATGTACTCCAAAAGGAGCGGCAGTCTTGTACACAACCACGCCAGCGGTAGCTGATCGCTATGTGATCAATCTGTATCCAGGCTTGAGATGTAGAAGGGGGACGCCAGGTGGCACATCGGCGATGACTGTGCCGAAAGTTAGTGCTAGCCAGAAACAGGTTGTGGTCTGTGCATAGTTGCAGTAGACGTTCCCCGTTATCTGTCCTGCGACCAACGAGTCCCCATCGGCCACCTAAACGACTCTCTTCAGGGCCTAGACGCCCGACCTGAGCATTCAAGTCTCCAGCTAGTACTACAATATCTGTCGAGCGCACTTTCTGGAGAAGAACAGTTAACTGGTGGTAGAACTCATCCTTGATTGCATCCGGGCTGCAATTTGTCGGGGCATAGGCGGAAATGACGAAAAGACATCGTTTCTCACGCCGATTTTTTCTCACTTTGATGGAACTTTCTAATCTAACTGCACATAACCGACTGTTAATGGGGATCCAGTCGATTAGTGCTGCCTCAGCTCTAGCGCTTAGTGCGACACCAACGCCAGCAAGACCAGACGAAGATGCCACAGGGTCCTCGGATAAACGCACATAAAACAAGCTTTTTGAAGCGACAGATGGAGAGCGAACTTGTAGTACTTCACCAGAGTCTTGAATACGGGTCTCGGATAGACAAAACACATCAATATTAAGACTTTCCAAAGACATAGCCAGCCCTATCTGTTGTCCGACCTGCATAAGTGTGCAAACGTTGAAGGCAGCCAGTTTGAATGGTGCGCGTGGTTTCAGAAAAACTGCTTCGGTACTCGTATTCGGTGGTAACATACAATTTTCAACCAGGCAGTGACTCGAGAACGTTTAGATAAAGCTGAATTTTCACCATAGGTGAGCTGCTGTCTAGGTCGAAACGGATACATAAAGGAGGAATAAGAGAGGGTGAATAAATGACGTGGTAAAATAATAATAATAATAGTAATAATAGTACGAGTCATTTCAATGTTAATCAGAGAGAAAGGAATATTTTCCATAAGCAAATAGTTCATCATGATTTTAGTGCGTGGGCTGAGATACTGCCCGGGTGCCCAAACCGAAGCAGGTGGTTTTCTTAGGGGGCCACACCCCGAGCCTTTGACCTAAGGGTCTAACGCACAAGGCAGTGGAGCATCGTAAGGAGATGCAGTCCCATGGAAGCCGGTGACCAACGATTGGTTCATACGCCATTTGTTCCCACAGGATACTGGAGCCCATGTGCACTATTGAATTGGGATCCGGTTGAAGCGCCGGACATTCGCTTTTCGTCCTCTCATTTTCGTAAACAACACCCCGGCCACGAGAAGGCAGTGAGTAGGACTTCCCTGGCAGAGGCTATATACGCATGGCCATGTGAGAGTATTTCGAGAGGGAGGGCGAACCCACCCCGCTCTCGGCCATACCAGGGCATTTGAGAGCATCTACCAACCAGGCTCAAACCAGAAGTTAGTGTCTTCAAGCACTGATGCCACGTTTTGGTTTGACCATTCCTAACTTTCTTCAAACTATCACCAACACTAGACACCATTGCACGTCGTGGTAATCGGTGTTCAGGCATACGCACTACGTGGTCCAACCATCTCAGTCGATGAAGATTCACAACCTCATTAACTGATCTACTATCATTCCCTAATACCCTGTGTCTAACCTCACTATTACTTACGCAGTGATCCCAGCAGATACCTGCAATATTTCTAAGGCACCTGTGGTCAAATACTAGTAACTTACGAATATCTTCTACTCTTAAAGACCATATTTCGCAGCCGTATAGTAGAACGGAACGAATTGCCGCGCAGTATACTCGTCCCTTAATTGATAGACCTATATCTCGCCTACGCCATAGGTGACGTATGTTGGCGAAAGCCAAACGAGCTTTTCGAATCCGTGCTGAGATTTCGTCAGACACCAACCCATTATGGCTAATCAGACTTCCAAGATAAGTGAAGTTGTCGACGCGTTCGACTACTTCACTCCCTGTCTTTAGTTCAGGTGTTAACGCAGTCCAGTTCTGAAGCAACCACTTGCATTTAGAGGGAGAGAAACGCATCCTAAACATTCTGGCATTGTTGCTCAGTGCTACCAAAAGACTCTGCATTTTATTAGCTTCTTCACCAAACAGGACTATGTCATCTGCGTATTCTAAGTCGATAAGTGGACCTCCTGGTAGGAGATCAATGCCGGAAAATTCAGTCGATGAGAGCGTTATTTCCATCAGGAGGTCTATGATAAAGTTAACCGAAATACAGAACAGCTGAAAACGGACTCGTTTAAGTTCTCATGGTCTGGCGTCAGCTGGAGAACTAAGGAAAAACAAGAAGCAATAGACATCTTTTCTGTCCTAGTTTAAGGCTCAGTCGGGAGTTAAAAAGATCTTTCAATTACTCAGGAAATCCCATTACCATTAAATCACTGAGCTGTAATCCAATGACACGCACTTGTGATTTTAGTCAGCTCGAATTATGGATCTACAGTCACTCGATATCATCGATAGAAAAATACCCCCGATCCGACTTGATTAAACTCCGCCAGCTATGACTTCAGTTCTTGGTTTAACGATACGAATAGTGTGACGCTATCGCTTGTCTATATTCATTAGTTACTATTTTCTGTAGCTTATTATTGTGGAAGTGTTTGTGTTTATGATTATACAGATTCTATGGTAAAATCCTTTTAAAGATCTACCTTATATTCCAATCAGTGTTTTCTATTTCGATTCAGCAAGTGTAGTCAAATAAATCAAGCACATGCTGTTTTTCCACCTTGTTATTTTTTAATCTAGATACTCCCGATATATCCGTGAGTTACGTCCTCGTACTATGCTGCATTCTAGTTATGCTTATTCTGTGCATTTGGAAACCTCTTTGTGTAAGTTCTTTGGTGCATTTATTTAACCATTTGTATTGGTTGTATGTCAACAGTATTATGTTCTTCTACTCTCGTGCTGTCAATAGGTTACACCTGTTCTTATTTTCCCAAAACAATTAGAAAAAGAAATACTGAGTCCAATTGTCACAACTCGGTGCTATTGCAATTTAAATTCACTTGAGGACATCTATATTGCACCAAAATATAATATTGAATAAAGCCATTAATAATAATAATAATAATAATAATAATAATAAGTAAAATATTAGATCAAAACGTAGGACAGAGTATAAATTTGAACGACCATATTATCCTGATATTTTATTTACAAAGTTCAGTGAAATCTATGGTTAACCGACTGTTATTTCTGACCTGTTAAAAGATCGGAACAGTAATCAGTGAGTTAGAAGACAGCTTATAATTACGACCATATTAAGATACCATAAAACCATTCTTTTATAGTTATTCAATAAAGATATCTAAACTAAAGCTTTAACCCATAGTTAAATGCCTCATCATATAAAAGTCTAGGGAATATATCTAGAATTCACTCCTTTAAGTATTTTCACTTGTGTTATTTTATGAAGAAATTTGTACAAAGAAACTTTGTTCTTGGTATCTCAGGAATGTTTTAGTTCTAATAATTGAATAAACCTGTATAAGGTATCTGCAGTGAAGCACTGATAATAATCTATATGCAATTAGGCTGGAAAATGTCTATTCTATTGCTTTTTATCGGTTAATTTTTCTGTCTAATTTACTTGTTACTCAAGATTCCTTAAAAACACATTTCATGAAGTAGAATATTCTCTTGATATAATATACCACTGAATATGCTAATTTAATTCAGTAACCTAATTCTGTATGTCAGTCAGTCAGTAACAACGTGGAACTTCGTACGTACGTACATCAGTTCGAGTTGCCATACCACATTAGCACAGAGATTCAGTTATCGATTCAAGTCCCATAGTGGTAGAGATACTGAAAGTATAAGTAGAGATAGGGGATATTAAGGTTTGATGATGTTATTAAAGGAGTATAGTCCAGTGGAATAAATTGGGAAAGAAAATAATGAACATGAAGAATTCAGAAGATTAGAGTTTGAGAGAACACAAAGAGTGGATGCACCTGCGCCATTGCAAACGATTTTGAGCCTTGTCATTCAAGGTCTCTAACCATCGGTTGCTATCGTCTCGCGGTCCCCAACCAGGTAGTCTACACCTACCAACATGACTCAGTCCACTTGTCAGTGACTTCATGGATTTGTGCCATGTTTTGGTCTGGCCGCCCCTAGCTTTCTTCCAACCTACTCCTACACCATAAAACATAGCACGTCGGGGCAGTCGGTGGTCGGGCATGCGCAGCACATGTCCTAGCCATCTCAACGGATTAAGTTTTACTACTTCCTCAATTGATTTGCCATCCTTACCTGATACCCGTTTCATAACAACTGCATTACTTACTCTGTGGTCCCAGGATATACGAGCGATGTTTCGAATACACCTATGGTCAAATACTAGTAACCTACGAATATCCTCTACTCTTACTGGCCATGTTTCACTGCCATAAAGTAGGACGGAACGAACTGCTGCGCAGTAAACGCGTCCTTTGGTTGATAGACGGATATCTCGCCTACGTCACAAATGACGCCAGTTGACAAAAGCTAGTCGAGCCTTTTGTATCCGTGCTGAGATTTCGTCACACACCAGACCATAAGGGCTGGTGAGACTTCCGAGATAAGTGAAGCGGTCGACACGCTCAACTACTTCACTCCCTATCACTAGTTCGGGTGTCGACGCAACCCAATCCTGAAGCAACATTTTGCATTTCGAAGGAGAAAATCGCATGCCGAACATGCTTGCATTGTTGCTTAGAGTGGTCAGCAGACTCTGCATTTTGTCAGCGTCTTCACTAAATAGAACTATGTCATCGGCATATTCTAAGTCAACAAGTGAATCTCCCGGTAGAAGTTCAACTCCTGGAAATTTAGATGAGGAAAGTGTCATCTCTAAAAGGACGTCAACAACAAAGTTAAACAAGAATGGAGAGAGTGGACAGCCCTGGCGAACACCACTTGAGGTAATCAATTCTGATGACAGTTCACCATAAGCTCTTACTCGACCAGTTGTGTTCGAGTAGAGAGCCTTTATAAGGTTGATGTGCTTCTTTGGTACTCCCTTCAGTGACAAACACTGCCATAGAACCTCACGATCAACAGAGTCAAATGCCGCCTTAAGGTCGAGAAATGCTACCATTGTGGGGCGTCTGAATGTGTGTCTATGTTCTAGGACCTGACGTGATGTGAATATTTGATCAATACAACCACGTCCAGGTCGAAAACCAGCCTGGTTTTCTCTAGTCTTCTCTTCACGAGCTTTGGTTAGACGTCGAAGTATTATTGAAGCTAATATTTTAGAAACTATATTAGTCAAACTAATTCCTCTGTGATTGTCACAGGAGGACTTTTGTCCTTTCTTATAGACTGGTACAATCAGTGATTGAGACCAGTCAAATGGGATTACGTCCAGTTCCCAGATTCTACCTAAGACCTCAGTCAATCTCGCTGTATGTGCACATATTGTAACTACCGTGCTTAATTCAGATTTCATTCTCACCCCTATCATTGCGTGTAATTAGAATTTGTATCTATGTGTACGCTTTAGGTTTTGATCCTAATAAAGCTCTACCTTCCTTTTTCCGTTTTATTTTGCTTTATAATTAGTTTGTCTTAATCTTTTACGGATAGATGACAGTAATACTGTTTAGTCATCATCCGTTAGTTTCGCTAAAGTCTGATGGTGTTGTATATTTTAACTGTTTGTAAGATTTTCAATTCCTCTGAATCGTTTTAAACTAAGTTTGTTCTGTGTTTTACACAACTAAAAACGTAATACCATTCCATATTTACAGTATGTATAGTAAAATTTAACTGTAGCCTTTGGAATCCTCACCTTTTGGTTAACGTAAACGTCTATTGATTGTATTTGATTAATCACTGTACCTGAACCGTATGAGTATTCCTTTGCTGATGAAAACTTTTGATCTTCGGCCTTGAGCTAGAAGGATGAAACATTCTGTAGACAGATATGATCATGTTTTCTCCAAAGAACACTACTACTGTTGCTGTTGGAATACTGTTTTCCTAAGCACCGAATTTCGATTTAAACAGCCGAGTAATAGTACTACCACTTTACCACTAAACCCAAAGCTGAGTGTATAAACTTGTGTCTAGTGAATGAATTACACTACTACTAGTTCATTATTTATTCGTGAGAAAACCAGACTAACCATTCTCAAGTCCAGGTAAGCATTTCTGCGGAGTGTAATAAATAAAATTCAGAAAAATGTCGTATTTGCTTAACAAACCTTAAGCATATAGTAATATTAATCGTTTAACCAGTGTACTATCCATGGAATAAACGATCACAAACAGTAAAACTAATTGTTTGATAGATATATGTAAAAAATACCAGTTAATAAACTGAAAAAGTAGTAGTAAGGTAACACCGGTAAATTTAAAGAGAGTTACCTTCACCGTATTTATTGATAACTCTAGACCACAAAGTTGAAATCGCGAGAATATTACTTTTGCGGACAAAGGCGATGTTTTTCTTTGGGCATCTTTGGAATTAACCATAATCGTAATACCATTAAAATAGGTTATTTCTATTTTAATAAACATAAAGATGTTGATATTACGACTTCTTTGATTGAATCATAATTCTTAATTCTTTTGCAATGTCGACGATAATATAACAGTTGTATAGTGAAGGATTTTCGGTTCGCAGAACTATTCCAATTTATCCCAGTTAATAATCTATAAATCATTTTGACGCGTAATAATTCTTCATAGCGAATTTATGCATTGACTAATGTGCTGTGATTAATAAAGTCTAAACTTATATTACGCATAATAATGTAATGTTGTTTCAAGTGTATCGTTATTCAAAATTAATATGAATTGTCATATAAGCAGTGCTTTTGAGGTAAAACGACTCCTAGTTGAAAAGTGGCATTCCGCTTGTACAATATTTTACATTGGTTATGTATTTTCCATCCTTATCCTGTAATTTCACTCACAAATATTTGCGAAAACGTATGGGATGCAATTTATAACTGAGTATGTAGTATTTATAACTTATAACTGGTTTGCTAGACACCTGTTTATTTACTTAGTTATTGGGACCGAAGTATATGAAATGGGACGTACACGTTCAATCAGCTACTTGATATTCGAGTGCTTTAGTCATTAGACAATTACCCCATATCCATCTCCGAGATAACCACACACGAAACGAACTTCATAGATCAAGTTACGGAAAAATTGCTCAATACTTCACTGATATTTGGAGTATCAACTCTTGAAATATAGCATGCATCAACAGAATTGCTTTTCAGAGTTTTAAGCAAGAATACCTTTTATTTAACCTGTATTAAATTGCTAACATTGGAAACGGTAAACTCAAACGGCCACCAAACTATATTGTGAGTGAAATTGGCATACCATTCAAATTACATTGACTATTGCAGGCTAAATTTGACACAATTAAGTATTGAAGATAAATAGTTAAGTAATAGAGAGATCATTGATACATTAGCTTGGTTTCAGTCTGCGATAAGTTCAATTGAACAGCACTTTGCACTCATCACTTCTCGAGGAATCGAGTCAAAAATTCTCAGGTCTTCATGAAGCGTTATCACTGAGCCTCAATCCATCTCTATAACTTAAATCACGTCACTAATGAAGTGTTTATCCATGACAACAGGAGATATTTTTCGCGCTACATAATAATTTGGCTAAATTTGGATAGATAGACCGCTGAATGTCAACTCAGTAGCCTAAAACGACTGTATTTGCAGCTGAATCTGATACTTATGAGTTAAATTTCGTATGGGCCCCCAAATGCCCTGGTACGGCCGAGAGTGGGGTGGGTTCGCCCTCCCTCTCGAAATGCTCTCACATGGCCATGCGTATATAGCCTCTGCCAGGGAAGTCCTACTCACTGCCTTCTCGTGGCCGGGGTGTTGTTTACGAAAATGAGAGGACGAAAAGCGAATGTCCGGCGCTTCAACCGGACCCAAAACCAATGGTGCACATGGGCTCCAGTATCCTGTGGGAACAAATGGCGTATGAACCAATCGTTGGTCACCGGCTACCATGGGACTGCATCTCCTCACAATGCTCCACTGCCTTGTGGGTCAGACGTTCAGGTCGAAGGCTCGGGGTGTGGCCCCCTAAGAAAACCACCTGCTTCGGTTTGGGTACCTGGGCAGTATCACAGCCCTCACACAAATCAATTGAGATTCGTGTGGTACATATGTATTTGGTGCCTCCCTGTACCTATACTTATGTGTTAAAATAATAATAAATAAGATTTCGTATTGAGTGGTTAATGAGCATGACTTGAGGCTATTAATCAACCTAGGCAAAAATAATGGTTTTTTAAATGATGTCCTTCGTAATGCAACTGAGTTATTATTAGATCTAATTCATATTTATAAAAATAATTTTCTTTTCTTTTTTAATGTAATAATTACTCTGCCAATTGAATAAATAATAGTGTTCATTTGTTTATTCTTGAACTGTGTATTTTACATGTTTTAGCATATTTTGTACAATATATACGGTGGGTGTTGTTCACGTTCTCGTGTTAGTAGAATTGATCTGAATAGTAAATTGGCATATCGTCATTTAAATACAGAGGAGTTTTAAATCCGTTGATACTATCATTGCACATATCATATTACTTGTTGCACTGGATATTTATTTATTCGTACATACACGAACATTTGTTTATTTTCTTTTACATGTATGCATCACACTTATTCTTTTCCTCACTGTTCACAAACATCTCTCACTTATTTGTTGTTTAGAATTCTTTTATATTCCTCTAAATTATTTTGTACATGAGTATGATAAATATATTCTAAGTCAAATTCGATAATTTTAATCTTTAATTTTCTTTATTATCAATGTGTTTTCGATTGCATGCTATTTGAAGTGAATAGCTCTTTTTTATTGGGGAATTTTCATATGACGGATAAATGAAGTTTTATTATAAAGATACAGTTTGTATGACGGTTACACGTTAATCATCTACTTATCTGACTATACAAGCCAGAAAAGAATTGACCGACCGGAAAACCCTGTTATTCTTAATGATAATGTCTTCAACACATATTAGACAAATTTCGAATAAATGTGACTGTCTGTTTGAGTTTTTCTGTGAACCAGATCTATTCAGTTCTACCCATCAAATTCTTGTTAATCGTGTAGATTTTCTATTAAAACTATTTCAGTGTTGTATATTTCACTGAATAAAAAATGATATAATATGGTTCTGGTGCTTTCATAGTAACCTGTCCTCTATCTGTCAGCAACCTTTCACATATTGATGTATAGAATCTATTCATTAAATAAATTTCATTCATTAAACGTCACCATTTTAGAACCATCCTGATTTATACCAACTAATCTAAGAACCGAATCATATAATTATGAAAATCCAAGTCCATTGTATGGTTTTATTTAGTGTTCGTAAGTTGTCAAATAACACTTGTTCTACTAATGTGACTTTACTAAAAACAGAGAAATTTAATATTGTATTAAATCCCTATATTAATACTTGAGTGATAATTGTACGAACAAGTGTTAATAAGTTTTTTTTTATTTACCAAGCTGATAAAATGCTACTACATCGTCAACTTTCAGCAACTTTATTTATTTATTATTTATTTATTTATTTGAACACATAAATATTGGTACAGGGGGGCACCAAATATATATGCGCCACACAAAACAATGATAATTTGAAGAGAAGGAGAAAAAAAAGGTAATGAACGTGGGGAATTATAAAAAAAAGAGAGAAAGAGAACAATGATGGGGAAAACGGAAAGGTACAATCAGAAGAAATCTTATATTTAAGGAGGATACAGTCACTTTTTATGAAAAAAATTAAAGAAGGTTACAACAGGATCGCCATTGGCTTCTATTCTGAGCCATATCTGATAACGTCTCTAGCCACTGTGTTACACCATCTATCGGACCCCAATCAGAGAGTCGAGAAGGACCAACAGAAGATAGCCCTTTGCAGCTTTCTTTCATACCACGACACCATGTCATATACTGACCACCTCTCCGCTTTTTCCAACCAGTCCCAGAGTCGGCAAATAATGCACGACGAGGAATTCTCTGGGACAACATTCGTAGAACATGTCCAAGCCACCGAAGTCGGTGTTTCAAGATGGTGACACCAATTGGATTGTCGTCTCTGTGCCAGAACACACGATGTCGAACCTCTGCATTACTAACATGGTGTTGCCACTGGGTGTCAGCAATCCTTCGGAGACAGCGATGATCGAACACAGAGAGACGTCTAACATCCTCAACTCGGAGAGGCCAGGTCTCACAAGCATAGAGCAAAACTGCTCTCACTGACGCGTTATAGATCCGACCTTTTACAGCCAGACTAACATCACGAAGGCTCCAAAGATGGCTCAGATTGGCATAAACTGCTCTGGCTATCACTATACTTGCATTGATCTCATCACTCTTACCACCACCAGCACTTATGCAGCTACCCAGATACACGAACTTCTCGACCAATTCTGTCTGCTCACCGTCCAGATTGAGTACAGGATTAGAATCCTGCCAGTCTTGTAGAAGTACTTTGCACTTCGAAGGTGCGAAGCACATACCATACCTACGGACATTGATTGCCAACTGATTAAGTGCGGATTGCATGGCTTGAACATTCGCGAACCCATAACAGACCGTACCCGCCATTTGCATGGCGTCATGCAATTGCAACCAATGCTCATCTATACTTTTCGGTGGAATGCTAGCTAGCCTGGAAGCTAGCTCGGTTCGGTACTTACTATCAACAGAAGTTGCAGCCAGCTTGCTAACATCAATCCTTTGGTGGCGGTCACTTCGTTGTCCACTGAAAAGTAAGGTAAGATTGGCGCAGACCAGAGCATGGTCAGATTCCAGATATGTACTCCAAAAGGAGCGGCAGTCTTGTACACAACCACGCCAGCGGTAGCTGATCGCTATGTGATCAATCTGTATCCAGGCTTGAGATGTAGAAGGGGGACGCCAGGTGGCACATCGGCGATGACTGTGCCGAAAGTTAGTGCTAGCCAGAAACAGGTTGTGGTCTGTGCATAGTTGCAGTAGACGTTCCCCGTTATCTGTCCTGCGACCAACGAGTCCCCATCGGCCACCTAAACGACTCTCTTCAGGGCCTAGACGCCCGACCTGAGCATTCAAGTCTCCAGCTAGTACTACAATATCTGTCGAGCGCACTTTCTGGAGAAGAACAGTTAACTGGTGGTAGAACTCATCCTTGATTGCATCCGGGCTGCAATTTGTCGGGGCATAGGCGGAAATGACGAAAAGACATCGTTTCTCACGCCGATTTTTACTCACTTTGATGGAACTTTCTAATCTAACTGCACATAACCGACTGTTAATGGGGATCCAGTCGATTAGTGCTGCCTCAGCTCTAGCGCTTAGTGCGACACCAACGCCAGCAAGACCAGACGAAGATGCCACAGGGTCCTCGGATAAACGCACATAAAACAAGCTTTTTGAAGCGACAGATGGAGAGCGAACTTGTAGTACTTCACCAGAGTCTTGAATACGGGTCTCGGATAGACAAAACACATCAATATTAAGACTTTCCAAAGACATAGCCAGCCCTATCTGTTGTCCGACCTGCATAAGTGTGCAAACGTTGAAGGCAGCCAGTTTGAATGGTGCGCGTGGTTTCAGAAAAACTGCTTCGGTACTCGTATTCGGTGGTAACATACAATTTTCAACCAGGCAGTGACTCGAGAACGTTTAGATAAAGCTGAATTTTCACCATAGGTGAGCTGCTGTCTAGGTCGAAACGGATACATAAAGGAGGAATAAGAGAGGGTGAATAAATGACGTGGTAAAATAATAATAATAATAGTAATAATAGTACGAGTCATTTCAATGTTAATCAGAGAGAAAGGAATATTTTCCATAAGCAAATAGTTCATCATGATTTTAGTGCGTGGGCTGAGATACTGCCCGGGTGCCCAAACCGAAGCAGGTGGTTTTCTTAGGGGGCCACACCCCGAGCCTTTGACCTAAGGGTCTAACGCACAAGGCAGTGGAGCATCGTAAGGAGATGCAGTCCCATGGAAGCCGGTGACCAACGATTGGTTCATACGCCATTTGTTCCCACAGGATACTGGAGCCCATGTGCACTATTGAATTGGGATCCGGTTGAAGCGCCGGACATTCGCTTTTCGTCCTCTCATTTTCGTAAACAACACCCCGGCCACGAGAAGGCAGTGAGTAGGACTTCCCTGGCAGAGGCTATATACGCATGGCCATGTGAGAGTATTTCGAGAGGGAGGGCGAACCCACCCCGCTCTCGGCCATACCAGGGCATTTGGGGGCTTCAGCAACCTTAAAATACCTTAACATATTTTTGTTACATACTAGCAAATGAGTTAATTTATAGGTATGGTCAAGAAAATTCCCCTTAAAAAAAAGTAATAAAGAGTTTATTACTACATTGCTACCAAATTTGTCAATGTTTTTGATTAATTTTTCAACTTTAAAATCAGGATTTTCAGCGCTTGAGTCTAAGTTAGTTTCTTTATTTACTCTTTATAAAGCCGTAAGTAGTTTTCCAGACGACTACACATTGACTTCGATATATTTGCAAGATTACTCAAAAATTGGCACAACTATCTGAAGGATATCTGAGTAATTTAACTCTACAAAAGTGCTAACTAAAAATATGATTTATTTGAGACTATCCCTTATCATCACTTTGCATCAGTACGGTTAAGCATTCCGCGCGTTTTGGATTTGTATTATCATTTCTATTCCATCATAACAGCAAACAAATTCTTATCTATCCTAAGCTTCCCAACCACTCTACTTAGATTTTCTCTATATATTTACTCAAATTGTTGTCAGTCATTATTTGTATCTTGATTGGTTCAGCTATATAGCATATTTAAATCATATGAATACGTAATGGCCAGAAACTGTTCAAGGTGATATTAAAGGAGTAAAATTAAAAAAAATTTTGTCGAATAATCTAAATAATAAAATGTTCGTTAGAATCATTTTACGTGGTATTCATCATAAGTTGATCTTCATCTATTACATATTAGGTATGGTTTGATCACCTGTTCAAATAACTGAACATTATTTTCAATTTGTTCAGCGTTCAATAATTTGATTTCTGATTGAGTAAGGACCTCTCATCATTATAATTGTTATGTACTTCTGAATTTGTACATAATTCAACCGAACATCCTAATGAGTATATTGAACAACATACCGGATTTATACTACCTGGATTATTTCTTACCCATGAACACAAAAAAATTGAGAATACAACCTGATTTATTTCTTGCTACCACTAACTCGAATGAGTAATCTATAAGTTCATATTCAGTAATGTTAAGTTTGTTACGCTTGGCTGCTACTACTGATTCGTCTTACTCAGAACGGAATGAAGAATCAAGGATTCAGAGACTCGATAGGCTATTCTGGTCCGTTGTCCCCGACTCAGCTAACTCGATCAAGAAGTCTTGGTAAGTGTATTCTACAGGCAACCAGAAGATACCAGGTCAATCAGACACACAAATCAAGCGTATTTATACAAAATATATAATCGATATTGCCATGGAAGTTTTTTTAAACATCTAATCGATAAGTTCGTCAATCGACTGCTATTGAAATATTTAAACATTTAGTCGATAAGTTCGTCAATCGAATATGTGCGTGGGTGGTAGGAAATGCCCAACAATACATCGGCATACAAGCTCCACAAAGATAAAATTACAAAATATGAGTTTTTGGGATCTAACGTCCCCAACAATTAACTTAGTGTACGTTCAAGAAGTGGCCATTAACAGTACTATTCGAACGGGACAAAACTTCAGCAATCATGTGTACATTAGAACTGTCATAGTATTTGTTTCAAAACCCTTTCATTATACGACTATAGCTGAGTTTTTATAGATAAACTAACACTGATGGAATATATCCATAAACTCATAAAAAGTCCGACCAATAGTTACTAAGACAACAATTCTTTTTGATAGAATTTCCATTATTATCATACATTTATTCGCTATTTATCTAGACAACTAATCATAAATTTTGAATGAAATATCTTGGAGTCTCTAAGTACAGCAATTTTCTGGTTTCTGGCTAATTTACAAGCAAATAGAAACGTCAGTGATGGGAGGGGGAATCAACTTACCGAGTCAAATCTTATCATGAATTTATTAGACTTATAAACACTGTTACAATGTGCAAGAGATAATAGAATGATTTTGATGAAACTACTATTTAAAAGTGTCATTCGTAATGCAATTAAAAAATTATTAATAGCTAGACAGTATTAATAAATATATTAATGAGAAATGATTTACAAAGTGACTACATGGTGTCTACTTCAGCTCTATTTCTGACATGTCATAGCCATGGTTTATGATAACAGTAATAAGAATAAGGTACATTGTATTAATGTATAAATATATGCGTGTGTATATATAAGTTTATGTTATAACTACTTGATATTAGTTGTTAATTTGTTTAATAGTTGAAGTCATGAGTTGATGAAAGATAGACAACCATGGGAAACCTGGAAGCACTGGACGACCGTTCCGCCCCAGTATGGGATTCTTCAGCATTGCGCATC